AATAATTATAAGCACTATAAATAATAAATAAATGTGATTGTTGTATTTGACATCCAGCTGTGAAATGGTAAAAACTGCATTTACCAATTATATTGCACAAACATGTCACCGCTATGCAGTTTTCATCAAGAAAACGGCATAAGTGGTTTTCAAGAAAGGAATTTCAAGAAGGTTAGGGAACGAGGCCCATAGTTAACGGATTCATGTTTACGATATTGATATTATAAATACTATACACTCACCAGTGTCTTTGTCTTTAGCCTTGTACACCTGACCGTAGGTGCCTTCCCCTGTGATTCCAATGATCTCAAACTTGTCCACGCAGCGTTTGCCCCAATCTATCTCAGTTTCCTTAATTTCACCGTGTCTTGGGCCACAGATTCTGGAAATTACAAGAAAACATTTCAGTGTTAGCCAAGTTAATATACAGCAGAAGAAAATTAGAAATATCACTGAATACTGAATACAACATACTTAGGTCTTCGGCGAGGTGTCTGGGACTTTTTGTCATCGGCTGGGCTGTGCGGGGAAGACTTGCCCCCGGGAAGTTCCGGAGGGAGGGGCAAGTCGGTTAGCAGCTGACGGTTCTTCCTCTCTGACTTTTTCTTCCCTGCGATCAAGCTGTCCTTCAAGCTGGTAATGGGGGGAAGAAAGAGACACAAACACAGGGAGAGTGTAAGTAAGGCTTCACAATTAAATGTATAGAGGTGCATGACAATTTATGTGTCACAACCACACATGCATACCTTTCTCCTTTAGCCATGTGATCTAGAACTGTTTGGGGCAGGGACGACAGAGTGGAGATGAGTGAAGCAGCGGCTCGTTCCTTGTCTTTGCTCTGTGCAGATGCTGGTGCTTTCCTTTTGTCTCGATGTACAGAGTCATCTTTCCCCTTTCCATCTCTGCTGGGCTGGGGCTCAGTGGGCCTCTTGGCTGACCTGTCAGAGGGGGACTGGGGATGGCTCATTGGGGGAGTTCTGGGACCTTTCTCCGGCGGTGGTGGTGGAGAGGGAGGGCGGCCCTTTCTGGATGTGTGATTTGTCTTCGGGCTGGGTTGATGAGCAGATGAGGGACCCTTGGTTGGAGTAGAGGTGTTGCTGGAGTTCTTGGCCTTGGCAGCCGCTTCTGCAGCTTTAACCTTTTTCTGCTTACTGAGCTCAGCAGCAAGACTGGTTTTAAAGGTGAGCGTGCTCGGGGAGAGGCTGGAGGGCCGGCTGCGGGAGCGAGAGTGGCGGTGACGGCTGCGAGAACGTGAAGGCCTGTTGGACGAATATGGACTTCTGCTACGTGATCGAGCAGATCGCCTGAAAATAACATGATATGGACACATTTTTAGATGGGAATATTTTTTTAGTTGAGCAATCTAGTGGATATCTAGTATCGAGTTTTTACACTAATCACATGCAGGACTTTAAACTAAAAGGGAATCGTGACACCACCAAAGTAAAGATACATGTTTACCTTGGTTTGGGTTGAACCATTATGATAAACTATTAAAAAAAAATCTAGAAGCCCCTTTGTGGAAAATCAATGTCTGACCCCTCCTTACCACCCTGACCCGAAAAAAACACACAACAGCCAATATATGAAACACACATTATGCTTTATAACAACTCACCTGACATCTGAACTTGGGCTCAGGGACTTCCTGTATGGACTTCGAGATCTCCTGCGGTTTCCATAAGGACTTGAACCAAACTCTCCTTGTTCATACGGACTGTGTCGGCCATAACTCGGGGATCTACGCCAGTTTGCCGGGCTCACTGGAGATCGCTTCCTTTTGTTGCTGGAGTATGCAGTGGGTGACTTTGGCGCACCATATGCACCATACCCATCTGCATCCCGGCTATAATACGTGGAACTTGGAGAGAGTTTTTTGCTCCCATAAGTTGGACTTTTTCTAGATATTTGCTGGTTATAACCACCAGGAGACTGGTAGTTATATGGAAGGGATGTCCCATAGGGACTTTCTGTTTTTACACCAGGACTTCTCCTGTATGTCCTGAGGTCTTCGCGGTCATCTCTGTAGGATTGTGGAGCCTCTCGGTATGCAGATGGGGGCTCTTTATCAGATCTTGTTTTACTTCGGTGCCCTTTTGAATCCCTTTTATCTGCAGATTGTGTGGCCTGAGATGTGGATGTTCTCTTACCATTTCTGTCACTGCTCCTTGTGGTGTCTCTGTGATTTTTAGAGCCACTGAGGCTAGCTCCACTCTTAGCTTTTGAAGAGTCTCTCTCGCGGCTCTGGCGGTCCTTTTTCCTGCCTGGCTCCTTCTCTTGCTTGCCCCTCTCTGATGGTCCCCTTGTCGGTTCGTCCTTGCTTATGCCCACTGCCTCCCGGTCTCTAGGGTGACTTCGGTCTGTGGTTCCTGGTCCATTAAACTCACCAAAGTCAACATCGCTGAGTCGGTCTACTGAGAGCCTGTCAGCACGGGGGTCCAGTTTGGGAGAGGGGCTCCCAGAGAAACGCTCTGACTGAGAGCTAACGTCATCATACTCTACTAATGTCCGAAGTTCAGCGTCTTTATCAAAAGTTCCCTTTCGGTCATTATAAGGGTCTCCTGTTGTACCGGCATGCAACAAGTCTTTTCCCTTGGCCTGTCTGCGTTTCTTTTTCCTAGAAGCCGATGACCGCCTCTTCTCTCGGTGTCTGTCTCGCTGAGCAGCACCGCTCCCCGGCTTGCTACGCCTGTCCTGTCGGTTAGCATTTTTCTGAGCAGAGGGGCTCCGTCCCCGACCCTCCCGAAGCACCTCTGAATTAGGCATTTATCCTCAATAAAACCCTATGCCTAAGTTGAGAATTATCTTTATATTATACACTTTTCCTATGTTTCTTGTTGTGTCGTGGAAAAAAACATTGGGCTAGCTATGTCACATGCTAGTTGGCTAACGTTACAGCCAATTCACAATTACGACAGCCAGCGAGCTAACGTTAGCTAAATCACAAGCTTACATTAGCATTACACAGCTAGCTCGTTTGAGGTTCAATACAAAGTGAGTTACCCCTGACGGTAGTTAATCCATTACACTTGATGCCTGTAGATTCCGTCACATACAATCCACATATGGTGTTTAGTTATAGAGTCAGTCAGTACTCAACCATTGTATTCCAGGACGTAAATCTCCAGGATTTGCTAGCTAATGGCAGTCGGTTTAGCCAGCTAGCCTCCAACAGCTAACTGTGTCCAACGAGACAGTGGCATTCCATTTCATGGTCAAAGCACAGGCCCAAATCATCTCTTTCTTTAAAATCCAGTTCTTCTGTAATGTTGCAGATCGTGCAAGCATGTATATCCATTTACCAGGTAGTGTTAAAGTTTAAGTTAAAAAAACTCAGTCTCCTTCTCACAAACTTCTTCTCGCCTTCCATCACACTCCAATGTGCAACAAGGAAGTGAATAGCACGCGAGTTGGCTGAATAGCCGCTGCTAGCTAACTAGCCACTAGCACGTTAGCCAGCTCGCTTTCTTTTCTCCTTGCGTTGAGTTCAATTCAACTCAGTCAAGATGCAATACAAGAGTAAAAGCACGCCTGCTTCCACGTATCCCTCCGGGTTGTAGCTCCCTCTTACTACCGCACGGTCCAAAATGTGTTAATCTTTTTCCGGGCAAAAAGGTTCTAGAATTCTTTGAATTGATTTCAATATATTGTAACTTTGTTCGCAATGTGGCTAACGGTACAACTCGCCAGGGCCCAGACAGCTTTCAAACTACAGGCCTTGTGCGTCGGTGTTAACCAATAATACCCGTATGCGTAACATTGCTCAGTGTCTACGTCATCGCCAAGGGAAACCCCTACTTTAAAAAAATAAACATATCGAAATCAATGTATCAATGTACAAAAGATAGTATCTTATATTCTATCAACCAAATACTAAGCCAATTAGGAAACTTGCTATCCATACATTACATTTGGTAATATTTTTATTTTATCCTCTCATAAACATATAATTACAATAAAGGTTATGCTAGATAAAATACAAATTATTAATGAAAGTAGGCTACTGGTATTATACTTAAAAAAACATATAAAATACTGACTATAAATATCGCTGATNAATAAAAAAGATATCTAAGGAGCATATTGAATAAAATATGCCAATATAAAAAAGGTTTTTAAAAAAAGGTTAAGAGCTGAGTATAGCATATTTAAAATAAAATAAATTAATACAGTTTAAGGACAGTCAGTAAAATGCGGTGCGGAACAGGTGGGTCTTGAGGCATTTCCTAAAAACTGAGAGTGATGCAGAGGTCCGTATGTTCTCTGGAAGCTGATTCCACAGACGTGGACCCAGGGAGGAGAAAGCACGGCCTCCCATGCTGACCAATTTTGTCCGCGGAACAGCCAGGAGATTGGAGCTGGCTGACCTGAGTGTGCGTGAGGTATGTGAGTGTTTTCTGGTTAGCAGTTCCTGTCGGTAGGTGTGGTTAATGGCGTTGAAGACCATTATGAGGACTTTGTAGTTGATCCGGTGGGATTTGCCAATTGTATACTAATTTCTCTCTTATCCAAAATATGTCAGCAGTAGTAGGCTATGCAGTTTGCACCAATCTATTCTTCAACACTCAACTTCCAGTTATAAAACAGCAACATGTCCACGTCTGTACTATGGTAAATCAACATGTCCCCTTGTTCTGCAAGCAACATATAACTATGCAGCACAAATAATCTGTGTGGTTGTGCAAACACTGAGATAAGGGCAGCGCCAAACTGTATGTGCTTGTGCATACATTATACTTCTACATCATTTGGTGTAGTCAAATGTTGCATCAAAAACTGCCTACCTAAATAACATATAAACAATAACACAATAGAGTGAACATATATCAAATCTGAGAAGTCAATGCTTGAACACAAATATTTAAATTCACCTTTGTGTGATCATAGAAATGAAGGTCAGTCAGCAGGTGGTGGTATTCAGCCTGTTCCCATAAATGTGAGCAGCACAACAATCAGTCACTCCTCATTGTAATAAGTCAAGAAAACATCACACACAAAAATATTATTAGTAATATCCATTTTATTTGCCATTTTTCATATAGCTCACAAAAAAAATTAACTGAAATGTAAGCTTCACCTCTTGCATTCACAAACAGATAGACAGACGGGCTACATAAGTGGTTATGTTCTAAAATAGGAAGAAAACATGTTGTTGATGTCATACATACAACCATCCAATCATAGAGGTACATTTTCTTTCTTCCAAGGGTATTTAAATCACAGTTAAAGCTACTTCAATACCCAGTAGGAGTTTGCTCATAGTTTTCACACAAATATCAGTTTAATATCACCCTTGAACATATCTGGGCCATCAAGTCTATTAACATGAAGACAAAGAAAAATAATTAGAGTGTTTTCTTCTCAAGAGAAGTACTGAAACAAGAATTAAGACTGTGTTAAGCAAATGTTAGAGTAAGCAAGCACTATGGTGGTCACTGTACCAAAAGTAGCTTCTGTATTCTTTAACAATGCAGACACATGTAACGTCCATAAGCTAAGGAAGCCTACCAGACTGTGATTATAACTGTCAGTTTCTGCGTCATTCCAACCATCAGATGTGTTTCAATCATGTATATACTGGAGGTTAGCCCTTGAGCAAATTAACCCAAACTACTTTCTTAACATTCTATTGCCTTAAGTTCCCAACATGTTGGGTTTGCCTCACATATCTTTAAACTCCAAGTCGTTCTACAGTGTGCTTTTCAGTTAACAACAAATACCAGACATTCTTTTGCATTACTGTCATTTTTGTACAATTTACACAGTGACATATAAGACAATCAAAGCCTGTAAACAAAACCAGGAACTGATAATATCAAAGGAATCAACATGATTTATTTAAAAATGTAAAAATATGTTTTAACGATGTAAGGTTTTCTAAGCTGAAATGCTTCTAGTGCATTCACTGAAACACTTTAGAAAATGTTTCCCAGTTTCATAATCTCTTGTCCTTTGCAGTAACAATCGCTCTTTTGCATAGACTCCAGCGTTGGACATCCTATTTGTTGAGGAAATCCTGTAATGTAAATGGTGAGCTGTTGTTGTTAGCAACGTGTCACACACAAACATTTACTTTGGAGTGAAACGAGGCAACAATTTCTGAACGATGGTCAGCCTTTGAAAAATAAATTACTTTAAATAAGTTAAATGAAAAAGAGTGTCTCAGTCATAAAGGGAAAGTAAGAGAGTTGAGGGGCATATTTCACAGTGTGGTTTGGTCTATGCAATTTTAGGTGTTAATCACGGATGAATTTCTTATGTTGCCAATGTTTACACTGCTAAAATACACAAGTACACAAGCTACACGAGGAATTTCATGAAGATGCTACTACAGCTTTATAACAACTGGAAGCCTTGCACAAAATGTAACAAAGGTAAACAAAGTAGACCGTCAACGACCTTCAAACTCTGCACATCATGGCAGGCTAAGATTACAGGCAAACAGGAAGGGCATGGGTGGTGGGGTGGGGGGTCACATTCACAATGGACAGAGGCAACAGTGATGCACTGTACATGAATTACTGAATCCCTCGTTACTTTGCAATTTTCCCCCCAGGTCCTTCGCAATTCAATTCTATAAGTTCCTCTTTGCCAAAGACAAAAACACTGCTGTGCTTCCCCCTCACGCTCACTATAGCCAGTTGTCCTTCAGTTCCATTAATAAGTGGGCACTTGTTTGTACTAGCTAGCACTTTTCTTTGGTGACTGAGAGCAACTACATTTGGACAGCTACCACCTTTCTGCTACAAAGCCTGCATTCATTTTTGTGTATGCCTTAAAATGCATAATTCCATTAAGTTATCCCAACACAAGTCCCTATTGAGAAAATGTTTGTGATTAAAAGTCTGAGCCAGGAAAAGTAAAATTGGCAAAATAAATCTTTACATGACTGGAAGCAATTTATTTGATCAACTTTAGGTTGTGTTTAAAAACATCAAGTAAACTAGGATGTAGTGTTATGGAATGGCCTTTTATCAGAGCACCAGGCATTCCTTGATCGCAAACAAAAAAGGCAATGAAGTTAAACTTCTGTTGAAAGAAGTTGAAGTGTTCCCTCACAGATTATAGGGTAATGATCAGTTGTGCATTTGAAGACTCAAAGTGACACAAAGGGGAAAGAAAGATGAAACATTAATGCGCTCATCTTACACTGGTTGATCGAGAACATGAAAGGAAGGGGAGCGTTTGACTTCACAGCTAAAAATGTGGTCATAACCTTACCACATAATAAAATCCAGGTGTAAATCAACAAATAGAAATGGAGTGCAATTTTGACTCGAACAACCCTTCAATTAAAATGCTTCATAGATTCACCAGTGCAACATACATTTCCTTGGTGGCATTGAATTCTGGGTTGACACTTCATTGCTGAGTCTGTTCACTTATTTCCTTACCAATCTTAATTTACAATTTTCCCCCATTCAAACCTTGGCTCTATCACTTCGTATCTGCACAGTTGTCTGAATATATTATACACATCAAACTTTACAATCAAAGGTTTCGTAACATTTCACGGCTTAAGCCCCTTGTCAAGCGTAGGCCTACATCAAACACGATCCATGTATTACACTCTGTAACTTGGTCAGAGTAGGAGGGGGTACATAAATGATTTGGAGTGTCAGCACATACAAAGTTAGAGCTATAAATAGAGTGCCACCTTACTACTCCCTGACACACGGTCAGATGTCCTGTTAGCCAGGAACAGAAAGTCATGGTCAGGTGTGGGCACAAAATAAATGCAAAAGTCTGAGAAATGTATATGTACATAAGCAGCTATCCTGCCCTTGTTTACCACTATAAAATACAACATCTCTCTCTAATTCTCTTGGCCAAACTTTTACTTTTCTTCTTCCCGTTTTTCTCTTTGCTGTCCTCCATTTTCCTCGCTCGGATCTCCCTCATCAGGTCAAAGAACACCTGTGAAAAAAACCCCACAAAATATAGTTCCTCTGTTTGCTCATAATAAACGGCATATTTAGCGAGGAATGCTAAGCTAGTCTAGCGTACCTTGTCGACATTAGCCCGGGTTTTGGCAGAAGTCTCCACGTAGCACACGCCCCACTGCTCAGCACGGGCCTTCGCCTCCTCTGCGCTAACCTGCCGTCGATCGTCCAAATCTGATTTGTTACCAACCAAGAGGAAGGGCACATTCTCATCCTCCTTCACTCGCAGAATCTGCTCTCTGCGAAAAGAGAAAGGTCAATCAGCCGTTAATGATATAAAATAAACGGGCTCGCTGAAGAGTATGAGGTCAAATAGTAGAAAATACAGCCTTTAATGTTCCAAAATGCCAAAAGAGCATAGACGGTTTATGCATTTTAGCAGGGGAATAATACATTATGTCGTTAAATTATATTAGATGGAAAACCGCCTTGATGTTATATTTTATGCTGCTGGACCTGAAGTCAACTGTTGCTGCAAATGATTCCAGTTCTGTGATGGAAAACACGCAGAGGAAACCCTCGCCGCTGCGGAAGTAGTTATCTCGAATGGCTGCATAGTCTTCTTGTCCAGCTGTGTCGAGGATGTCGATCTGTACCTCCTCTCCGTCCAGCACCACTTTCTTCCTGTAACTGTCTGCTTTGGTGGGCTCATAGTCTTCAACAAACTACAAGGGGGGTGGGGGGAAATATAACATGTCATGTTAGCAACTGTCCATTAAAAAAAGAAACCCTTTCTACCTTAACGTATTTTAAATGTACTCGACTGTTGTTGTGCAAGCCGCTCACCTCATCATACATGAACTGGAGTGTGAGGGCTGATTTCCCCACCCCTCCACTGCCCACCATTATCACTTTGTGAAGGGCTAGAGAGTTCTGCCCCTTTGGCTTAGCAGCTGCCATAGCTCTGTCTAGGAGGAGATCAAAGTGTGAAAGGGATGAAGTTCAAGGTGAAGCTGGCGGTGCAGGGAAGGATTGTGAAATGTAGAACGTATAACACAGCTGCGACAAAGGGCCGAATGAGAATTCCTTGATGGGAAAAAAAGAGAGAAGAAATCCTTAGATATCTCATCATTTACGAGGCTATAAATAACATTTCTGCAGGTAGATTCCTATACTTCATTGTGTCCCATAGTAATACAATAAGAGCCATTACACTAAATATGTAGTGCATATGATAATTCTCTTCCACAGTTAAGACTACAGCAAGAAGCACTGTTGTTATAATGACCGATGGCATTAGAAACTGCTAAATAAATCAGTATTTAAATACTACCACTTCTCCCTGGGTCTGCAGAACCCCTAACATAGCTATAGTGAATATGTGTGAATCACAAAGACAAAGAAGTCAAAGGAACATCATTATTTACTTAAAAATAAAGAATACTGATACAATGTGCAGAAATTATTTGGGTGACCCAAACAAAAATACCTGCATCAACATTAAAGTTTGACACAAAAACATCTGCCAGAATTTTGAATTATTTATATGCATATTTTGCAACCGACGTTAACATGCTAGATGTCAGACAACCGTAAAATAAATGCAAAAAAAAACCCGCTTCTGGCATCCTTTGGGGAAACCCGATGACGTTGATGACATATGGATAAGCAAATTTATCTACTACATCTTGACAAACAGTAGGCAAATTCCACTAGTTGAAGAGAAACCTCACCTGTGAAAGCCATTTAGGAAATAAATATAACTTGTTTTAAAGCTTCTGCATAACATCTGGCAGTATTTTCCAAACTTTGACAAGACAGGATGAAATCTGACATAAGCAGAAGCCATTTAGTGGTCAGTATTTCATACTGGACAGTCTATGGGAATACCATGATGTCCAGAAGTCCGTGTTGATGCTTTTTCCCTAACACAGGCCCACCCAGACTTCTGAGAATCAGGGATTCAAATGGGAATATAGCCAATAGGTCATTAATTAAACAAATTACCAAAGGGAGTGTATGCACTTAAAGTCAATATTTACGATGTAGTGTAGGAAGCAATATCCTTTACTTCAACCATTTTAAACCCCACAATGTAAACGTTTCTCTTCACACTTGATAAAACGCCATAATGTTATGTATCGATATGAGGTCAACATGAAATATTTGAAATGTAAGGCAAGTTAAAGTCTTTAAGACAGGTTGACAATGAGGACAACAGCAAGTATATAGGTATAAGACCTCGAAATATTTATTTACAGTAACGTGTATTACATGTCATCCATTGGCTGTATCACAAACGCTTAAGAAATGTATTTAGAATGATGGAACTGGGTAAATAACGTTAATAGCAATGGCACTTCAAAAAAAAAAAAAAATTATATGCTGTCAGCTTAAAAACTGACAATTCTGCCTCATCATTACAACAAAATTGAAAAAAAAAAGACTGAAATAATGAATATAAACGCACAATGTGCTAATTATCATGTTAACTAAAGCTGGGGACATGTCAACAGCAGGTAATCAAGCTAGCAGGTGCAGTGGGTGATGTGGCTAATAAGCTTACGTCAGCTGGACATTAATTAACATGTGAGGAAGTCGAACATGAAGGTAGCAGCTCAGATAACGCACAAAAGACAAATCATTAAAATCCGATACCTAGCAACAGATGTTTAATCGATCCTCGCTAGCCAGCTAGGTTGGCCACACAGTCAAAATGGCTAGCAAGGGATAACAAGCAGCTAATCACAACTGAAAGATACAACGTTAAAATAAACGAAGAGCAGACATGACCGCAGCAAGCTTTACAACAGTTGCCTTCGTATGAATAACACCACATACCTTTAAATAAGACAGTATTCACCTTGGCACGGCGTTTGACAAAGGTTGAATTATGGTGGCAGAATGAGAAGTCTCAGCTAGCTACTTGTTAGCTCATGGCTAGCTCCCTAGCTAACTCCAGAGACTTAGCAGCAGACTGAGTGCACACATCCTGTGAGGCTTGGCTCTGTCTGACAACGCCCGCCCGCATGGGAGAACCAGACACCACTCAGCTTCACTTTGCGTGCCAATGTAACATCAATTTCTCACTAACGATAACATTTAATGATTAATAATATTATTTCTGAGTTTTTTTTGTGATTTGGTTTCGTGGTATAACATAACAAAAAGATTACCGACAGTGGATATGCATGGTAGGCTAATTGAATAATTGGTAATCCACATAAATGCTGGCACGTTTGTTCAAGTAAAAAGCCTCTTTCAAGTCAGAGTAACGCAGGCTTTCAAGTGCCAGGTAATGTTGATTTAAAGTTCCTGTTTTCAATTAGGCCTACAGACCTTTATTATTGATTTCAAACACAAAAAGTAGTCTATTTATTTGTTTGTAACCCAAAGATATACTTTAAAGGTCCCTAAAATTGATTAAAGTCCGTTTTAAATAGTGTGGATGTTGTAGTTTTATGTTTTTATATCCTTTTTTTCTCTTTTTGTAGGCAAATGCTTTAGTCATGAAGTCCATAATCTCTGATCTGCACTTGAAATTTGCAGAAAAGACATGGAAAGAAACCTTTCAGCTTGTCCGAAGATGCATGGTAAGAAACTCTAATGAAAAGAAAACTATCTCTGTTTCATTCTCATTTTAGCTTAGGCTACTCCCTTTGTTTGAATTCCACATCGAAAAACTGGAGTTTACATACAATTCCCTTTGTCCTGGTTATTTGAAAGTGTGCTCTTTTATTAGTTAAAAGCAGAAAAAATAGATGATTGGTTAAACAAGCTATTGTACTTTTTACTAGAGGGCTTATCTAATATGTGATGTCTTGCTGGAGATCAGGAACTGGTGTGGCCACGCACTGAGCTCATCTATCCTGAAACACACAAGTCTTTGTTGTTTCATCAGTTTGTGCATTGAGGGTTATTTGGAATCCCTTCAACCACTAGTGTGAGTAGGGAGCCTTTTGAAACAAAACAAAAGTTGTTTTTTAAGGTTGCCTTTGGGCTATGGCTAAGTTTCTATATTTATACTTTACTATTCTGTAAAAATAATTAAAAAAATTCCAATTGCAGATGCAAATCATTCTCCTACAGGTTTAGGGTCCAAAAAGCCTTTCAGATTCTGCTGTCTTTTACACTTAACAAAAAGTGTTGAAAATGCTTTAAATGTGTTTTGCACTGCTATGCCGACTCGTAAGCCGAGTTTACGAAAGGGTGTGTTTCTCTTTTAGATTTGTCATGGGTGGAGCAGTGGGTCAGGTAGTACTTTTGCATTAATACAAAGTGGAGCTTGGCAGTGGTCTGTGTCGTAAATAAACTTGATTACTTGGTGCACTGAAGCGATGTGTTGACCAAGGGGATAAGGCAGCCAGGCTTAGTCATGCAGTTTTTGCCGGCAGTGATGCTGATGAGGACTTTATAGACCTAGGCCTCTCAGAAAGGACAGTGTCAGTTTTCATTTGACAAACCCAGGCGTGGCAGCCTCCCATGGTGTTTAAAAACATACCCATCCCAAAGTGCAAAGCTTCCAAAAGCCTACATTTTCCTTCACTGTGGTGTCATGGGAGGGGCTGCGAGCACCAGAGACTGTTACACAAGGACGACTACACAACTGTGGTTCATTGTTGTGTTTTCTTCCCTTTGTCCCCCAATAGGACAAACCAAAAGATTCCTCCCGACCATGTGTGCCGCTGCTTAGATCCTTGGAACGGCTCCAGGAAGTCGTAAATGGTAAACAAACAATAAACCAATAATTCGGTGTACGATTGTATGACATTCTACCTGTGAGTATGTCTGCCTTTCTATGTTTCAGTGTCCTCTTTGAATACCATGAGGTCTCGTCTGGAAATGATTGCTAAGCAACAAGGGTATTTATAGGGCTTTTGATATGTGACTGAAGAGCCCTACAATAACTATTTTATAGGTCTACTTTTTTATCTACAAGCTCATTATATAGCTTAATTCCTCTTGTAATAAAACGTGTTGGCACACATTTTATCCTCCCTAGAATGGGCTTTCACATCACTGAGGCCACATGCTACCTGACAGCCGATATGTTTTACCTGGAGGTGGTGTTGCTGCTGTGTGGCGGGGTGGAGGAGGTCAAAGTGGCCCCACATGGAGGATCCCCTGTTGTAAGTGGAATAGACTGCAAATTACATTATTCCCCTTTTACTCTGCATTGTAATAAAATACAATTTTCTTCCAGCCCAGTGAGTCCTTTTTTCAGCTGCTGAGGTAAGTTGACACAATTAGGTAAATGATGACATTTAGCTTGATGCATAAAGATGTGCCATTTAAATTATTACATAAATAAATAGTTTTTGATGCTGATTGTGCCGTTTTTTTGGGGCACAGGTTAAAACAATTCACTGAGTTCGCCTTGAAGTTGGCAGACCTCTTCACCCAGTACAACATCCCTGGAGACAAGTACATAATCTTAACATTTAATTTAGCTGTTAACTTGTAGGTCTTCTTGCACTCATTTAACTCTGCATTTATGTCTTCTTTTCTCAGTGACCAGAAATTAAAATTGTTTGCATCTTTGCAATTCCTTGGAAAAGACTTGGAGCAGATATCACTTTTACCATGGTTAGTAACCTAAACATACCAATACCACAGAGCTTGTTTTGTTTTTTCATTAATTGCTTATCGCAAAAATGCCAAATACTTTCTGGCTCCGTTGTTATAGGAATATTAATTATATTTCATGAAAAGCAATAATACAAATTGATATGTGCTTTTAGTGTGCCAATTGACTCTGCCCAAGGTGACATGATTAACAATGGCAGAGTTGGGTGTCTAATTGCTGGAAAAGCAGGTACATTATCACAACAAAATATAAAACGCAAGCTATTCCAAGATATTTTTGTTAATAGACATTTCATTTTTCTCTTTAGATTGCCCTCTGTCTATCCAGTTCTATTCCACCCCAACTGATGGAATGAAGACCTCTGATTTACGTAAGATGTTCGCTCCGGCCAATGAAATTGGTTCACTTTATAAACCTATTAAATGTTTGTATGCATTATACTCATTCCTATTTTGACTGTTAAGTATTTAATAGGGCCCACAAAACCTCTCTCTTTCACTAAGGCAAATCGTTTTTTTAAGAATTCAAAGCTAACTGAAATAGTATGTTTTTAAAAATGCAAATTAGGCAGATAAATATCGGCTTATTTGCACCAGTCTTTTTTGTTATTATGACATTTGTATAATTTTTGGAGAACAAATGTTAGATATCTATTTCAATCATTGCATACATCTGAAAATACCCTCAACAGATCTATAAGAAAACTATTTTTTCAGATATTTGTAGGTATACATTTTTTTAATAAATCAGACTATGAATGATAAATGAACAAATCCCTCATTGCAAACCTTCAGAACAAAGGTGGGGATGAAACTAGAAAGTCTGGTATATGAAGGTTCTACTGAGGTGGGACATTTCTCGTAAGTGTAAGAGAATAAGATGACAATGCCTTAAAGACATGTAATGAGGAATTCCACACACACAACACTAAAGGGTAACTGGGTTAAAAAAAAACGTAATAATGGATATTGCCATCAAACATCCCCAGTCTATTGGCAACATAAAGACAACTGTTATTTTTTTTACATATGCAATTGAGGTATCATGTAATGCTAATTTGGTGAATTTGACAGAAATCTACAGACCAAATAGGTTTTCGTTTGTAAAATCTCTTCTCTTTTTTTTTCAAAGCAGAAGAAGAAATGACTGATAGAGAGATGGTGGTGCAGGCTGCAATGGTGACAGTTGATGTCAGTGATGTGCCTCACAAGCTTCAGACAGCCTCTGTGATCCAACAGCCTCCACAGCTGGATCCCCAGGGGTAACATGTTGCCGTTTAATCGCTCACTCAACAGGATACGTTTCATTTTACACCCCACTGTGAATGCCAATGCTGGTTTTATGCTCCTCTGTGGCAGTTATCCTGTGTTACTGCCATTAAGTGAGATGCCTAGTGAGATGTTGCCTGCCTGCTTTCACCTCAAACTGCAGCCAGCAATACCAATGATGTGTTCTTTTGTCGACAAGCTCAGACAAATAACAGGTTAGTTTTAAATATTACACTTTTAGAATGATCTGATGTATCAGCCCATCCCATGCTCTCTTGCTCCCCCTCTATATTTCATAGGTGTGGTCATGCCAGATGTTGACCTGCAGTGGGCAGCCTTACCCAAGCTTCTTATGAGTAGTTCACCAAGTGCTAAAATCCACATGGAGACATTCGATGGGCAGGATGCTATTTTTACGACGGTTTGTATGATAACATTTGTGTTTGCTTGAAGTGAAAGGTAACTGGTTTCGTTTAAGCTACATTATTATGCAGGCTTTAACATTTGCTCTATTACATGCAGAGGTGGGAAGTAGCGGAGTACAAATACTTTGTTACTGTACCTAAGTACAATTTTCTGGTATCACTCCACAACTTATTTTTCTGACGACGTTTTACTTTTACTTCTTACATTGTAATACCTGTACTTTCTACTTCTTACATTTTCAAAACAGCTTTGTTACTTTAGTTTTAATCTGTGTTTGGTGGCGTGATCATTGTTAGTTAGTCAGTGCCTGCCAATTGATTTTAACACGATCCGTGTATCCATCATTTCCTGGTCTTCTCTAAAGAAGAGGGACCAATGAACATTTTGTAATTTTGCCGTTGTTCAGCCTCGAAACATTCATTAGCTAACAATGACATTATTGTTACTATAAAGGGAGGTCAGTTACTCTTTAAAACAGTTGGTAGTTATGGGTACTTTTTACTTAAGTACATTTCTAAGCCCATACTTCTTTTACTTTTACTTGAGTTAAGAAGTTTAGTCACTACTTCTACTTTTACCAGAGTATTTTTAAACACAAGTTACTGTACTTCTAAAGGATGTGGGTACTTTTGCCATCTCTGATTACTTGAAGGGAATCAATTCTGTTCTGTCCAGCCTCTTCCTGGTAGTGTGATGCACAGTTATATCCTCCCTGGAGCAGCATGGGAGGTGCCCGCCCAAAGAGGGACTGTGGTGGACAGTATCCCCTTCACCCACCCTGCCCATGTACCAGCCCTACTGGAGCTGCTTCGACATCAGTGTGTCGTCAACACCCTGCTGAGGAGCTGTATGACTTCTCAGTGTACCGGAACAGGTAACAGAAAGTTTGGTTGGTTAATAAAAACACCAACAATTAAAAGGGGAAGAAATGAATGGGCGGGACCAGTCATCGACAAGTTAAAGGTCACCTATTCTGCAAAACCAACTTTTTCCTGTTTCTTATACATAAACATGTGTCCTCTCTGTGTAAAGAGTTTCTGAAAGTTTCAGGAAAAAAAGATTTGTTCATGTTTTGTCCTGCTCCATTTATATAAAAACCTGTCTGATAATGAGCTTTATGATGTCATAACGATTTTTTTGGCTTGTGTAACCATTAGCCAATAACCAACCAAGGTAACCCCCTCCCACCTTATCACCTGAATCTCCCCCTAGATCAACATTGTGTTCTTTTTAAACAAATATCTCTGAGGGGTGTTGGGAGTGGCACCTTATTTTCATCTAAAGCAACAATCGGCACTTTTGAAACAGAGGGAATTATGGGATGCTGCAATGGGTGATCTGTTTGGTATTTCGAGCCAAACACTTCAGAGACATGTTTTGTATATCTGAGACTTATAATATATTAATGAAAAACAGTATAATAGGCGACCTTTAAAAGCAGATTTACATTTTTGTAAGGTTTTTGAAAGTGGGGAGTGGGGTAGAATATCTGAGTTGGTAGTTCTAGGGGGAGGGGGCAGCAATGGAGAAGGCCCTGTCCTCCCACTAGCCCAGTGCTTGGACCGGATCAGGAGGATGAATACTTCTGTCTGAGGTTTAAAAGTAAGAGTATGAGGTCAGTGCACGTAAAAGAGATCGAAATTGCGGAGTGTTTTGAAGGGGACGAGTAATGGATTTGGTAAAGATATAGAACTGGGTGTTATCAGCATAATGGTGGAAATGCAGCTATGGTGGGGTACGTTGTGATAAATGGGAAGCGTGTAGAAGGTGAAGAGGTTAGAGTGAGATATGTGATGGTTTAATAATGGATTTTCCCCTTAGGTTCGGTGTGTGACCAACACTTTGAAGTGCGTCCTGAGTCTGACATCAGCTGTTCTGTGACCTTCCAGGGACCTCACACTGACTCCCTCGTTGTTTGTGAGCATTTCATTATCTACGTCAACGTTGAATTTTTCTGCAAAAGTGTATGCCTTGTGTGACTTTTGTGTTTTGTATTTCTTCGTTTGACACAGTGCTGGTGAATGTATCCGATTCTCATCAGATTACCTGCACTTTGTTTGGGGCAGAAATAGGGGACCCGTCTATGGATGAAAACCTCTCAACTATTATGAAGAAGTATGTATTCAAAAGTGATATATACCCCTTACTTATGATGTTAGATGATGATGATACCTATTTAATTGATTGCCCATCTTACATGCAGTAATTTAACATTTCTTGATAGAACACAAGATAAAAATACCAATGAACTTTGCTTTTCTTTGAATTGTGTCTCAGGTCCATGTCCATCCCTCTGGCCTTGAGGACATTATACCTCAAACTGGAGGAGATCACCCCTGCCCCACTTTCTGCCAGCCCTGAGGCCACCACAGAGGCTGAAAATGACCAATCAGCTTCCACAACTACCGCTGCGTCCGACACCAATGGTGCGTTTACCACGTTCTCCCAGAATGCAGCTCTGCCAGAAGACGACCTCAGCCTTTCTGGTTCGGCGTGCTATGCCAACTCTGACAAATCTGAGCTCCTTCCTGAAATAAACACCAGTCCTGCTGTCAGCCCTTACCCTTTCGCTCCTGGGGGGGTGTTTTCACACTGGATGACCAATAATGGCCACCTGTCAGAGCTGATCTGAAACTATGTTTACAAGTGGTGACATTACGTTTTTTTTAATTTGTTGTTTCAAGACTTGAATAAATACATTGGTTAAGCAAATGTTGCTGCAGAAACCTAAAGTGTTTCTTACTTTGCATTCCAGTGTGGCAGAGATTGTTGCCTGTAAAGGTTTTGAGGTTTGGCATTTGACCTTTCTCAGACAGCCAAGAGCCCAGTTGATTGGTACCATGTGAGCCAATCAAACATTGTAAAAGTGCATTCTTAAAGGCTCGTTAGAGTAAAGAGATCAACACCAGAGTGAAAAGATCAACACCGTAAACATTAAAGTCAGGAATGTCTCTTCTGTAAGCAAAAATAATAGCAAGGGGAAGGGTCTGATTGTGATCAGCATAAAATATTACAGATGTGCGATGACTTTAATCACACTTTTAGACCTGTTATCCTTTTTTTTTTCTTTTTTTTTTTAAATGGTGTTATCCCAATTTTTAGTGAAAAGTGTAGAAATTCAATACCTTTTGTGGAATGGAAACTTCTTCGTCTTGCTGGGTGGCAGCCATGACATCTTTCCTAATGTGAAAATACTTTTAAAGAATAGCAAATGTGCAGTTGTATGTACTGTAGCTTTTACCTTTTTCCATGATTTAGCCTCAAACTAAAACTATCATATATATATATATATACACACACACACACACCTTTTTAATCTAAGTTTGTGTAGAGTTTAACTTAATCTGTATTCTATTTAGAAATCTTCAAATAAAGAGATGTGAGCTCTCTGGTATTAAATGTCCTGCTTTTATAGTACTTAAATATGTGCAATGTTTATATTCCTAATAGTAAATTGATAGTGATATGTGGTGGACATATTTTAAATAGTTGATAAAATAATTTAAATTGTAAAGAATAACATTTCAAGTCCAAACTAACTCTTTAACTTTAACTCTTACAGCACTTCACTATAGATATTTACCTATATTTCTATTACATTTTTTTTACTTTTACCTGTTTAGCTGCAGCTAAATGCCTTTTACATTGTGCTGCAAATGTTACTAGAGAATAGAAGTCACCATAGCCACAAATACAACGTTATCCTTTATAGATCTGCATACTGTGTGCATTTAGAATGGAATTTCCACTTCTATCTAGAATATTAAGTCACCTGTCATCAGTAGACAACTGGCTTTGTCTGCCGACTTGACTTCTAGATATCCAATGACCTGGATGAATGCTATTCATAGGCACATTCCCACATGTGTGGTTAAACCATTCTCTTCTGTCAGCAGGCCTATATCCTCAGAATATTTAGGAGATTATATGACCTCAATTCTGATTGGCTGAGTGTGAATCTCTTCAAGTCACACCTGTGATGACATAATACTTAAATATTAATGAGGTATAAGGGCAAATAATTGAATGGGATTGTTGAATGATTCCATTAGGTCAGCCATAGACTATGGTTGTGTTATTCCAGGGGGGGAAGTATATTTACTCCAGTACTGTAAATACGTAAGTACAATTATGATACTTCCTTAGAAAATATGTTTTATATATTTATCAGTTAATTTTTGATTACTGGTTTCCTTGAAGAACAAAATTGACAAACAATTATGTTTATAGTTTAAGATAAATCTACATTTTATTCTGAAATAAAGCATTTGGCATAATTTGGAATTGTTGTAGTTGAAGGTATAATTTGATATTAATAATTTTGCAGTTTTCCTCAAGTAATTGAGATGGGACTTTTTGTTTGTTACAATGATACTATACAAAAACGTATAACTCCAACATTTTTATTGAAAAACTTCGATTACTAGTTACTCTGAAGATTCAGATTAATAATACACAGTGGATTAGCAAACACATCTTATTATAGGTTAAAATGCAAATTGTTTCAGTCATTTACTCTGAAATTAGCTATTGTGTCATGGATTATTTTACTTTTGGTACTAAAATGAGTTTTGGATACACGTACGTACCTTTACTCAAGTAATTGGAATTCAGAACTTTTACGCTACTTGTAATTCATTATTCTACTTTTACTAAAGTAAAGTATCTACTTCTCTCACCACTACCAGTGGTACTTACTTTAGACTGGGATTCAGTGGTAGTCTACTGAATCCCAGTCTGTCGATGGCTTATCTTTCTTTAAATATCCAGCTCTGCCTCCCTGGTCTGCGGTCTCTTTAAATCCAGATCCAGAGGAGGAGAGCAGCGAGTCCTCTCACAGTTGTCTGGCCACACTCAGCCTGATAAACAGCTGCTTACCATTTAGGCCACTTCACAAAAGTTTTCTCTGAACTCCTCGAATCGGGATTTTTTTTCTGCTCACCGCTCTTTGTCGGTGGAAGTTCAGATAAAGAAAGTCTGCACCGCTGGAAGCTGGATTCTGGACTGTAGCTTTGCGTAATGCTGAGGCGTCCTCTGCTCAACATCTGGATTAACTATTTGGAGTCAGAGCTAGCGGCCCTATACAAAACTCTGTCTGTCTAGCCTATCTCTATGGAAAGACTGCCCGTTTCTCTGGAATTTAACTGCTTTTGATACACCGAGTTTTGCGCATAGATTATGTATTCTTTAAAATGGGTGCGAACAATGGAAAACAGTATGGAAGCGAGGGTAAGTGCTGGAGTTATGACTTTTTAACAACTTTTATTTGAATTCCACTTGAAACAAAGTTAAATCAAACGATACACTATCATGTTACCGCCGTGTGCCAAGTGTCTCTCATAAACTAAAACAGAAAACAATGTGCGGTTTCTTGGCTCTGTAGCTTCGTTCAGTTTGCCCCTGGACATCAGAGAGCTTGCCTAAAATGAACGTTTTTTCCTCTATAACTCTAGTTTTCTCTGAGTAAGAGCTTCCTCTCTTTGTGTGGAGATCAACTTATGCCTTATTCCTTTCAACAATCTTCAAATTGTTACGATATGCATTGATATCGAGCTTAAAGCAACCCTTGACCATCATTTCCACACGTTTGAATGATGGTCAAAATAATTTAACTAAATTATGGTTAATTGATTTTGACTCTTTAGTAATGGTTATATTCTTCAAAGATACAGTGGTTTCTGGTTTGCATCTTTTAAACAATAACAGTAGCCTAAAGCATTTGAAATGCAAATATATCTAACTTTTAGCCACATCCCTACATTTTTTTAGCCAGATTGTTTGTCTTATCTTATTGTGTTATTGTCTATTGCTTGAGTGAAATGCATTTAACCAACTTAATGTAAGTTAAAGTTACATTTATAAGCTATAATGAAAGTGTGGGGGCGGTTACCCTCCTATAACTTTGATATCTTTGGACATGCAAAACGTTAAGTTAGAGGCAAAGCATTTTGCACAACAACGTTTAATTGTTCAAATATCATCTCATAGGTATCATCAGTCAAAAACAGCTGACTTGGCAGCGAAGTTCATAGGACAACACCAAGTAGCCAAATGTATGTATTTTTTTTTAGATCCTGCAGATTCAGAGGAGGTGGGTCAAAGTGCACGAGTGTTTGGGCATGTGGGCACTCAGTCACTCTTATCTTGATAAGAACCAATTCCTAAGATTTTTGTCTGCAAGAGCAATCCTTTAAACTAATGAGGTTTTATTTGGCAGCCATTTTGTGCAGGTATGTCAATGAATTTATGTAAACAAAAATATATAAACACCCTGACAAAACATAAATTACCTATGTCAATAAAAGATGTGGTAAAGCTTATGGTAACAGCCCCTCTTTCTTACCGTAAAAGCATTTCTACAGTTTATAGTGTAAAATGTAAGTAAATATGTATTTTGACATTAACTAGCTCTCCTACAGCTAATTGTTAAGAGGTTTCGTACATAAAACATACAAATAATGTCCTTTTAGCACATAATCCCTCTCTTATTCATAAAGGAAAAGAACCAGACAGAATATGACAAGAAATGCTACAACATTTGGGCTCATTATTATCAATAATAAGCCAGTATTTTTTGATAAGACAACAAAAAGTCATTAGTAGTGTAAAGCTGATGGTCAGGCAAGCACAGACTTTCACTGTCCTTCTCACTCAGCTAATGGATATATTTAGAATATCATTTCACTCAACTGGAATGCAGCTTAAATCCCTGGGAAATCGCGTTTTCCTGATATCATAATAGCGAAAATCCATATCTGCCAACCGAATCTCATACCACCATATTGCTGAAATCTCAGCAGGACATTGAGCCTCAGCTTTATTGCTATGGGCATGGTTGGTTTATTCAGTTTATATCAGGGTATTAGCCTTTATATTATCCGCCTCCTCCTCCCACCCCAACTGTCTTATTCAGCTAATCTCCAACATTACTTATTCAGGAAAACTGTGGCTGGAATCCACCAAACATATCGTTTCTGTCTCCAGAGCAGAGATGTTTGTATAAATAACATTCCAGTGAGCTCTCTTCCTAAGTCAATAACTGCGGAGAAAAGATTGAAAGTCATGATGTTAAAACATAACAAGTGGACCAGCTCCACCCAGGAATCCGGCCTGTTCAGGTACATGAAGAGATTCTGTCGCAGACTTCAGTCTTCCTTGAGCTGAATCTGCAACATATCAACTTTTTTTACTCTCATTAGTTTAGCAGGTTGTAAAAAATGTGATGTGAATTATAAAACACAGGCATTATAAATCAAACTAAGTGAGGTCTGCTACAAACATTGGCTTTCTCACTGTTGAAATATCCTCTCACTAAAACCTTCATCTTTCACAACATTTTGAGGCAGGCCCATCAAAAGAAAAGTCAAGACAATGTAGCAAGGAAAATATGACAGTTTGAATATGAAAAATGAAAGGCATCAGATGCAGGTTTTATGCAGAGGTTCCATTGCGGTTCATATAAATGTTATGACACCAACGCATGCCTGTTAAGTATCTGAATCCTGAGCCATGTATCTGAAGTGTCCTATCAACAAATATCCATTACAACTTTAAGTTATAGACGTAAGATTTCAGTCCTTCTTGAGTTAGTGAGTTACTAGTAGCTTCTTACATTATTTTGTCAGAAGAGACAAAAGGAATTTGTCTGCATTGTAAACAGCCAAACAAAGACCAACGTTGTGTAGTTTCAGGCTACAACTTACTATTATTTTCATTACTGATTATACAGCTGATGAATCAATTTGTCTATGAAATATCAGAAAATAGTAAAAAGTCCATCAGAACCCAAGGGGACATCTTCAAATGTCTTGTTTTGTCCAACCAACAGGCCAAACTCAAAGGTATTCAATTTAAAAGTATGGAATACTCAGGACACCATCTCATATCATTTTTGGAAAAGTGACACAGGCAATTATTAGATTATAAAATCGTTGACAATTTGGATATCTAAACAATCAATCAACTAGTAATTGCTTTAGTTTTTTTTTAGGTTAGGGTTAGGTTAAAGGGACCAGCATCTTCTTAACAACTGCAGAATTTTGCAGTTAATCAGTCCACATCTATTTTTAAGTGTGATTTCTTAATTAATTACACACTAGGCACAACTATGCACCAACCACCCACCAACAAATTATATAAACATCAGACAGGAAGCAGGAGCTTTTCTGAAAGTCTTTTTTTTCATGAAAATCAGAAAACAATAGTTCAATGTGGAGTTCCTCATGCGGAGGAAAATAACACAGTAACAAGCAAAAGATGAATATATAAAATAACTTTCTAGGCTGCTAACATATTAAAAAAGTGGACACCTGCAAGCATGAATTTCTGAGTAATCTCTGGGGACTGAAGAAGCCATAGCAGATGTGCAGGCTCGGTGATGTCACCGCAAAATGTCACACCATATGAGCTGCACTGGTTAAAAAGGATTTTATACGTATCGGTGGGATCGTGTGTCTCTCGTGCGGCTAAACATGGCGTCACAGGTTGCATTTTTTTCTTATTTTGGGAACTGTCTAGTCTGCACTTGATGTGCATGTGGGCGTGACTGTTTGGGAATACCTCTTCGTGCTGGGTGAAAGGCTCATACTTAGTCTCAGGAAAGCCACAAAGCTGCATTTATGATCTGACAGTGGAATGAAATGCCATAAACAACTACTCCGCAGGCAGCCTGCAGTCACCATGGCAGTCAAGCCTGTTGTACTCTGGCAGCAGATGCACATGTTCAAAGAATATCTCTTTGAAATGTTGCACTTGTGTGTGACTGTGTAGAAAAATCTAAAATCCAACAAACACAAGAAAAGCTCATAAAGTGAGAGTTGTAAAAGTGTGTAAACCGAATAACAAGCACTTTAGTTTGGCGGTTGTACAGGAGCTAAGAAGTACACAGCTGATGATAAAAGCTATTGTAATAATTCATTATTGTACTTGCTTAAATCTTTTCTCATTCGTGTAAGTGAAGGCTGAGAGGGATTTGAGGAAACTTTATTCTTCTTCAGATATAGCAAAAAATGGATACTTGTGCATGTGCCAAGCTTAACCATTCTTCCAAAATGGAGAATCTTAAAAGTCATGAAAGCAGAGAGGGATGGGCTTCATATTTTCCTTATACCTCATTCATTCTTACCACATTTTCTAAAGAACTAAAGCTTAGAAATATTTTTTTCTCAACAAATTCCAAAGGCTGTACCGTAAAAAACTGTTGTGGAATAAGTATTTAGATCCTTTACTAAAGTAAAAGTGCCAGTACATACTCTGTAACAAGAAAATGTTAATTCAAAATCTCACTTCAGTTAAAAGATTGAAGAATGATCAGCTAAATCTACCTTAAGTATTAAAAGTAAATGTGCAGAAATGGCCTCCTTATGTGACCTATTACTATATATCATTTATTATTAGATTGTTATCAAATTATGTCACTAGTTATTCCTGTTTTGTTCTTTTTTGGAAAATGTGACCTCTTTTGTTTCTCTACCACTAGTTTAGTCTTTAGAAATGCTTTGTGAGATACTTACGAGTATTATTTGAGTGAATATACTTTTTCTAACAATGGTAAAAACCAGTATATCATAACTTTACTGTGTCGTGTTAAAGTGGTTATACTCTGTCCCAGCAGTTTTGTTTTTCTTCCCTTCTCCCCTGCAGGTAAAGGGAGCTCAAGCATCTCTTCTGACATAAGTTCGAGCACAGATCACACACCAACCAAAGCTCCAAAGAATGTGGCTACCACTGAAGGTAAGGCATCTGGTGCTCATTAACCAAACTCCCCTCCCTTCGTATTCTTCTCCTCCTCCCACCCCTCTTTTTCCTCCTCATCCACTCTCTGTACTGCCTATTTTTGGAGAGAAACCTGCGTGTTCCTGGGATAACCCTAAACTGAAAACACAGCTCCCATCAGAAACCAAAGGCATTTCTTTGGGCTTTGTTTGAGGAGAAGAAAAAAGAAAACACTTCTGGCTTCTCATTGTGGAAGAATGCTTATCTAAACTGTGGTCGTATCAGGCTTAAAGCGTTGCCAGGGAGGGAGGTACGTGTGCTGGAGAGAGAGAAGGGTGAGAGGGTTTTTGCTGTAGAAGGTGTAGGGAGTAAAAATGGGAAAAGAGAGTTTCACCTTCTGCAAAGGCACTCTTCCAAACCCTGGCATACAGACTGTAGGGAACGGCTCCTCTCGGTCAGGAGTGTATGTGTTACAAATGTAAACTGTGTGTTCACTGTAATGGTTAGAAAATGCGTTGCAGATGATAGATGCCTTTGGAAGCCTCCTGTCAGCAGGTCTAAAACATTTGTAACAATCTGTCAGTCAACGCTAAAGTATTTTATATATTATTTTAAAAAGAACAGGGCAAAAATAATTTAAAGCTGGAGCCTAAAAGTACTGCAATGCCAGGTGCTTTTTGTTCAAATTCCTTATAAAAACATTGCATTTGACCACCATATGGCAACTTTAAATCCTAAAGGCAAATTCCATTCTTATTATTTGACAAATACATATATTTAGAATCTTAACACAAGTTTAACTCTTTAATATACATGTACATTTGCAGTTATGTTTTCACTGCTCTGATATATCCTACATTTAAACTTGCGCAACAAGCTAAAAACATGGACAAACCTTCTACATTAAAGTTGATATAGCTAAAGTGTTAGCTAAAGTTATTTCCCCGTCTAAGACACAGAGCAAGCTTAGTATTACATTGCAGTTCTGTTTCTGAATGTAATCGAATATTTCCTTTCCTTTTTGGCTCCGTTTTGGTCTCCACCAATTCCTCAGGAAAATATTTTGCTCTTTAGCGGCTAAATGCCCCTTGATGTTCACAAGCTAGCTAAGCTAACTTTGTTTGATGGGCATGTAGCAAATGGTGGGTTTTTGCAGAGCATTTTCATAGAGATAAGAGCCACATACGGGAAACAAGGTTAACAACACAACAAAAAAGTTGGGAAAACAAATGTCTAAACACGATAAAAGTTCTTCATAACGCTGAGCTGAACTGCAGAGTTAGTTCACTGTGGGTTCATCCCTCAGAGAACTCCTCCTAACACAGTAATTTGATCCTTTGTTTAAATAATATGTATAGATAAGTGCCGTGAAGCATTACAGTATAGAAAACTCCTTGCTTCATATCATTAAAACGACATTGCATCCTACAGCTCATTTAAGATTTAAGGTATACCTCACAGAGCTTTACAGGTTCTGGAAGTGTGTTAAACTTCCACAGGGCAGGGAATGTTACAGGAGTATGAGTCAGTCAGTGGAAATTAAATCTCAGAACCCTGTGAAGTCATTGATTTCGTTCAAAAACCGTCTAAAACCCCACCACAGATATGGTCTCTCTGTCTTTGTGCTTGTGTTTCTCTCTCTCTGAGTTGACCAGTGACTCACGACTCTTTTGCACGCTCATTCACATATGCACTTACCCTGTTCCCCTCATGCATTGTCATCGCCAATCTTAAATTTGCTCTGGCACGGTGAATGTAGTATTCTTGTGGTTTAAGAGCTGCCCACAAGAAAACAAATAGCAGCTGACAGCCTGTACTTGTAAGTGTCACTCAAATGAAGATTTCAAGGTGTTTTTCGGAGAGAGAAAAACACAGAGCGAGCTCCTCACGAGACGTCAGATCTACTTTTTCTCAATTAGTTTGCTTTAGTGAGGTTAATTAATTGAATAACCTCACTAAATACAGAGCAAGATGTTCTGTCCTCCTCTGGGTTGGACCAGGGAGATTACTTTTTCAAATTATCTGGTAATGACTCGCTTGAATTTGTCCATTGAGGAGCTGTATTGTGGAAATTGATAATTGTCTTAGAACAACCTGTACAGATATAAATATACGGAGTAAAAACCATGACCAGTGGCTTCACTCCCATCATTTTGCTCCTGTGTTATGACTAAAGTTGTTATTTTTTTCCTTCATGCTTAGTGGGAGTAATTACATGGTCTGGAACCGCTATGGCCACAGTCAAATCCCCCCTCTTTAAAAAGACACACACATGCATGTACACACGCTTAAATACCAACCAACGCTCACACACTCACACACAGTGGCAGATCACACAGTCCATGCCCACCTTGTCCTGTGGTCCACTAAACCAATCAGCAAGCAGTCTGGGCTTTTCCCCCCATCACATACTTTGGGTATCCATATTTAACAAGGAGACCTATCGTGCTATATTTGAATAATATATTGTAGGGCCATACCTATATAAGGTATATTTATTTTTTTCAAAATACCAAACAGATCATGCATTTTAGCCATGCCTCATTTCGCTCTATTTTCCTCTCCTCCACCCTGTCTTTGCATGCGCTGCAGCTGACTACGCCCCCCCTGCAAAGGAGGGGGCCGAGTTACGAGCGTCATGTTACCATGCTGTTACCATGCTGTTACCATGCCACTGAAACCTCTCATTCCCCTGATTGGTGGAGAGTTGGCCATATAGGCGGAGCTCCTCGTCACTGACGTCACACTATTTTCAAATCTGGATCAGTCTGTATCAGATCCGTTGCAGCCCCGTTTTTATAGATTTGGGTATGGAGGAAAAGAGAGAGGGCTGTGTTTTCTGACACTTGGTGAGTTCCCTGACACACCGGGGACACATATTCATGTATAAAAGACGTACAAAAGTGCATTTTGCATGATAGGTCCCCTTTAACACAACAACTCATTCACAGAAAACATTACATTATGTACACATTTAAAGTTTAGAATACATACTTTCTTATTATTATTATATTAATCTTAATTGTATTATTATTTTTGACTGCATTTGTGCACTTTTAGTTGGAGTGTGAAATATTACATTTGAAAAAAAAATCTAAAAAAGTTATATCGTTATTGTGGTTTTGTCCCTAATAGACTTGAAGTCAATATCTGATTTGGTTACAGCCCAAGTAAAGAATACTAAATGGTACAAGCTGACGATTTATCCCTATAAAGTATTTATCCTCTTTTCCCAGGCATTGTCCAAGTAATGAGACCAGCCGTCTTTGGTTCTGCTTTTTCTTACAATAAACAACATATTATTTGGTTTCAAGTAAAAGGCACATAAACGATATTGGGACAAGTGAAACATATAATTGCACTGCTTTATAACTTAAGCTGAGCAGCAGCCACTCTGGCTACAAGTGATAATTACAAGATAATGGCAAATGTTAAAGCAAGAAGTGTCAGTGAACTCTGAACTGAACTATCCAACTAAAGTGAACTAACATTTTCGGCCATAAGATACTGGTCATACAAGACGTTGTGTCTCCAAAACCCCAGAGTGTATTCAATTAAGAAAAAGCATTATTTAATTCTTATGGCTTCAACTTTTTATTTGTGAAAGAATTACTGTTTTTTCCTCTTTCAAAAGACACATACTTTAAAACCCTGTGTCAAAGCTCCAAACCAGAGCCACTAGGAATGAGGTGCTGGAGACTGCACCGAGAATAACCAGAAATCTTTCATTTTTTCAAAAATAAAACATCTGAAAATGTGATAATCATCGCAATACGCTTTAAACTCAATGAACCGTAATATTAAACAGCCCTAATATCAGCATATGGATGGAAAGTGGCAAGTTGCCTGTAACATGCATTCCCAGAAAATCAACACGAAGGAGTAACACTCATTCTGCTCCTGAAAACAAACCGAGTCAGACACATTTTTGTCTCTGTTTTCATTTATTATTTAGACTGGCTTGTGGCTTGTGGTCAAACCCAGTTGCTTATTAGCCACATATTGAAAAGCACAGTGTGGACAGTAAATACTTCCTGTGGGAGGAAAGTGAGTATCTCCCAGCAGGGGTTCCACAAGGACCCTGTCCGGGCCTCTAGGGTTTTGCTTTTGCCCAGCCAAACTCAGGGTACCTTAGGAATGTGGCTCAGACATGACTGAAGCTAAACTGACAACACCCTGAGATGTTCAGCCTGTGTGTGGTAACTCTCTTACATCCTCCTGTGTCAGCTGTGCAGAGTTTGAGATGTAACGCCGACTCACAGGGGCGTCAATCATCGTCAAAGCAGCCATACTTTAAGGTCAGCTCCTTCACCCGTTTATAATGGCAGCAGGAAGGTAGCTGAGGAACAGGGAATGGTGGGAACAAAGAACATGTCCACTTCCTTCATGCCTGCCAAGGACCACAGAAACAGTGATAACAGCAATGGGGAAAAGCTGACTCTGTCCTTCCAAGAAAACACTGTAGTAAAAGATAACACTGAAACATGTTGTGATTTTTATTAGGAAATTGTGGAGCTGTATCAAACTGAGATTTTTATTCTTTACAAGTGTCTGTCTATAAATTAGTTACAGCCTTATGTACAAGTGCTTATTGCCAGGTTTATATAGTACACTATCACGCTAATTATAGCCAGATCAGACAGTGGAGAGAAAACTACTATACTTGTTTCACAAGTATATGATAGAAAAGAGCAAGTTGGAACTGTTTTACCTCATAAAGAATCAGAATGCCTAAGATATATATTTGTATAATTGCATACATGTAAACAAATAAATCCAGCCCATTATAATCTTTATTTTATTAGGTATGTTACATTTTCAAGACCTGAGTACACATACTGTACAATAATACAATATACTTAATAAGAACCATAACATAGATTAAAAAATAAAAACATAAAAGAGAAAGAACATTATTTATAGCCGTGACTAAATAATAAGATTATGCAAAAAAGAAGAAAGAAAAATATACTTCAGCATGTCAGGCATGTTCATTAGAGACCACAATTAAATGATTA